GGATACATGACCATGCTCAAGTCGAATATAACAATCAGACATTTTGCTGCGTGCCGATTAGAAAGAGGTGCATTTATTCAAACATATCACAGACGACTAACTTACAATTGTAGATATATCACCAAAGTACATTTGTATATCAAATTCCATGGCACAAAACTGAATAGACTTGAGACATGCAAGTTTATAGACTTTTAAAAAAAAAAATCAAGGGAAGGAAAGGTCATAGAATTTATGTTTTAAAGTATGTTTAGGATAGTGTATGAAGACGAAAGACATTCACAGCTCAATGCTTCTTGAGTGCAGAGGGAGTGAAAAACATCTATTGAAACAACTATTGACACAACCCTTGTTTACAGTAAACAAATTGTGGGTCAGATAATAAACAACAATACAAGTGGTTGTTCGATTCAGCCGGGCGTGATGCGACGTGACAAAGGACAATGGTGTTGGAAAACGATTATAACTGTAAAGATTGCTAATTAAAACTGCCACCTAGAGTAAAACAGAAGTCAAAACCTCAGGACAGACCACCTTTCGTGCATGTTTTTGTCAAAGCTACGTGCAACGTTCAAGTACACTGCACTAAGTTCAGTTAATTAAAAACCATAAATCAAGATGATAACAAGCGATCAATAGAAGCGATTTTGTCTTTCACAACATGAACCTGGTCATATGATCAAGACATATGGCCAATAGGAGAATTATGTCAAATTGACAAAAAAACTATGCTAGCAAAAAAGTCAAATTAGGCAATAGTTCTTAATATACAAGAATTTATGGAGGAAAAAATATTTAGAAATGATAAAAAATATACATTTTAAAAACAATATTTTAAGAAATACATTAAACTACTCAGGTATATACCAATAGTAGTAATCTTGACAACAATACAAGTAATTACTTTACGTTATGCCTTAGCAACCAACAAGTTTCACCCACTCCAATGCACAAAAAGCATTTCTACTGAACTCAAACAAAATTTGTTGTACAGCAAATATAGAGATAATTAAGTCGTTCAAATAATGTCCACTCCGAGGCTCACCCTAATGCGCACTCTGCTCTTCACAGAGAAAAAAAAATTGAGACTGCGGCAAAGATGAAAAGAACCAGTAGGCAGACTGAAGCATCTTACTTGGATGATTACGATGATTAAATCTCCAGTATTTGTGAAACAACGCATTTAAGTTTTGTATGTGCAGCGTGGGATCCACATTGAAGACAACAGGATGTGCCGAGTATTTTACTTTGAATGCACGAGTATGTAGGCGTGGTAGGGCACACTGAACTGAAGATAAATTAATCTACAAACCATTCATTTACCACCACACTAAAGATAAAATAAACAACAAAATTCAACAAAATAAAATAAAGAAAATCATACAAGTCTACTTATTTCTTTCAAGTCTGATTTCTGAGAATCAAAGTTTTTGAATAGTCCAATAAATTTCATGAAAATTCCAACAATGGAAAAATGAGAACTAACTGTACTCAAAAAGTGTTGAAAGAAACCTGATTGAACATAAGTGCTTCATGATCATAGTATCAACACAGATTTCAGTGCCATCATTTTCATATCTACCACAGAACAATACAGCAAAGTCTGGTCTCAAAAGGATGGAACAACTATGCAAGGAATTCAAGGAACTTTCCATGCAATACCAGGCAGATATAACACAATCTATCATTGGATGTAATTATTGCAACTTGAGCATTTCAACCAATAGTATTGCTGGTCTTAAAAATGCATCATGATACAGATGTGATTTCAAGTTCCATAAGCCTCAACTCAGCTTGCACTTGTGTTTATTAATTTATTCCACAGAAAGTAAGTAACAGCGTGAGGTTTCATCATACTTATATAGGCATAGCACTATTGAGAGGACCCCCTAATATCTTAACATGGCAATGGAGTGAGAGGACTGCTAATAAACTAGTGGAGAGGGACAAGGGGTTTTACTGATAGTTGCAACTCCACGGAATGCATCCATGAGCGAGTGTTTAAATGACAATTTTTTTGCTGAATTTGACAAACAATATTGAACTGACTAGTTTAGCTCCTAACATATGGAAGCAAAGAAAGTAGAAAAACTTGCACTGCCATTGTAAAAATGAAAAATCACCTCAATAAGAGAATTCAGTGCTATTATTTTTAAATCGTTACGATTAAAACCACAATTCTTGAATTTATTTAATGGGCCATTAGCTGCCTATTGTTGCCAATTGTCCAATATTTTTAATCCATACAAAATGCTTTTGAGGTATCATCCGAGTCAACAACAGGTAATATATGCCGGGTGACATGCTTATAATAACATGCAGAGAGAAATCATTTTTGTTGCAACAAAAATTTGTCTACATGTGTACATAGCCTGCATATTTTGACATGTTATCTAAATGTACGCATTAAGTACTGTACAGGAAATGTTATTTTGGCTCAGAATTAAATTATTATATTTACATTTTTTAATCCATAGAATACTGAACCAAAATAACACCAAATGAATATACATGGATAAATTGCTAAGACATTCACACTACATGTATATATGCAAACAGCACCTAGACAGTAAGTAAATCAGTTTGTGTTCAAGCAAAAAATATTTACTTGCGATTTACATAAAAACAAGCTATGTAATATACAGTCAAACTTGAGTAAACTCCGCATAAAGACCACTCTTTCAGCAATTTTTTTGCAAATTCGCATTTGTTTAGAAATCAAAATAATTGGTCTTCTTATTCTTCAAATTTTATTTTTCCCAAGTTAAACTCATTTGATTTTAATAAACTGAAATATAATTTTTTTTGCTAGAGTAACATCTCGTATTCCACACAATGTCAAATGACTGAGTTGGAGATCCTAAAAAACATATTTCAATCTCCTTTGGAAGGTGGTTATCAGGCTTTTTATAGCCAGCCAGCCAGCCAGCTACCTGTCATTTTAGACTAGCACAACATTTCATTTGACAGACAATCTTTACAAACCTGTTCAACTTTCATTAAAATTACGTGTATATTACAACACAACCATAAATAATCAACATAAAACAAACTATGGCTACAGACTTCATTTTGATAATGTTTGGAGACAGGCCCCCTTAATTTTCTGTCCATAACAGGTTTGGCTGTACATTACCATATGTTTACTCAGGCTTAGTATAGCTATTTAATTATAGATTAAAAAAGCATGAAAAAAAAAAATTGGCAAAATATGTAGCTCAGTGAATGTTTTGTGTACACTCAACCACACCCCCCTCCCAAACGACTAATGGAAGACCAAGTCCAAGAAGCAAATCATAAATCAGAACCAATTTCTGATGTACACACCACAGCTGTACATGGAGATAATCACAACTAAATAACCCACTAACAAGAATGTCAATTATGTAGGCCTGCAGGCAAACCACCCAGAGATCACTGAACTTGAAACTAACCCTCAAAAATCAAGTCAGAGGATTGCCAACAAATGAAAAAATAACACTACCTGTAAATACAGAAATGTGCCAAAAATGCAATTATGTATGACCAATTTTCATTTTGCATAATACTTTTCAATAATTTCTCAGCTAATTTTGACCACCTGTACCAGTAATTAACATTGCCAGCAAAATTTTTCAAATACTGTAGAATATTTTATTTTAGCTGGAATTAATTTTCGCTGGAAATACATTTTGGGTATTTTGTATGGAATTTATTTTCACTGATTTTTGACAAGTTGCATGTAAAATATAGGAAAAAGTTATACTCGATAGATTTTATTTTCACTGAATCATTCTTTCAGCGAAAATTAATTCAAAGCGAAAATGAAGTATTTTACAGTAATGAGAAAAAAAATATGCAGGCTTATTTTGTGAAAGACTACAAAAATTTACTTTGGTGTAAGGATTAGATTTCATCACTAGAAATCTTCACTTTCATGATTTGAGAGAATCTCAACAAGATCATTGACTCCACTGTGACCCCCTAGCCTACCACCTAATATCACTTTGTCATAGAGCCAGTTACATGAGTGACTTCATAAGCCAGTAATACAAAATGAGTGGATAATACCACTCATGACACCATGAATATCAAACAGCTCTGTGATACTATGTGATAAACATTTTTTATCACGTCAGAAAGTCAAAGCGAATATACAGAACTAGTCCACGCTTACAAATTAATATGCTAAATAATTTAGCAAGATCTTTTCGCACGTCATTTACTGCAGAGGATGCGTTTTTGTTTTTTTTAAATCAACAGAAATATTTCACTTTTTTGAAACATTTTTTTCAAAAACTCAGCTTCAATACGAGTTCTTTATCCAATCTGAAATTCATATCACAGTGATAAAAACCATACTGTTGCATGACTAGTTTTTCTCTGTATTTGGTTCAAACGTGCATACAATGATGATGAATAATAAATATTGTGACATTTACCACATCACGTGTTACTCGATTCACAAGACTTCTCGCATTGTAGTCCAGGCACGATGCTTTAGGAAATGCGCATCATACACAATATATTTTCATTGTCTATCTACCAGCAAAAATATTACCGAGGAGATCAAAGTGGTTTACCTAGCCAGGTTTCAAATCCATACATTCTAAGCAAGCAGTCTATATATAGAGCAGGTAATATACAGCAACTCTATCCAAGCTGTGGTGATATGATCCAAGTCAAATTATACATTACAGAAATTATAATATAAAAGTGAAAATAGAAATTAAGTTGATCTCAGAAGGTTTGACAACTATATTTTTCACTGAGGCCAAAGGTATGTGTATGGTTATGGCCTGACTAAAAACAAACACCTATGTCTAATGTTATAATAAAGTATTGCTAATTTGGCCACTGCGGACAACAGTTTATTAAAAAAAATTTTGTATCATTCAGCCAAACAATATGGCTTTAATTTTAGGTAGAGTAGAGTTATCAGAACGATATATTTGGTCTAAAAACAGAAATATATTAATGTGAGCGTGTATGACTGTTGTGATGAGTGTACTGTGGCTTACCTGCCAAACTCCAATAATAGCATTGGCTATAAGAATAAGCAATATAACAAATGGTTCCACAAAGGCTGTAATTTTATCTTCTTCTTCTTCAAAAATAGCTAAAATCTGTAGAAAAAAAACCCCATAAATCAATTAGATTAAATCAGACACATTTTTTTTTTAATAATCACAATTGCATGCCACATCTGGTATGAAAAAAACTTTTTACATTCATCATGGAGGTTTTAGCTAGAAGAATGGGTGGGTGGGATCCTTGGGGCAGCAGATAACTAAAAAATTATTATCAGACTTGTTACCCTCCCTTCTGGGTCTAGTAATGTCTGTTTTTAATACATGAAAATGTACACAAGTTTAACAATAACGAAAAACGTGTAAAGCTATGTGCACCCTGCATGAATTCAGGATGTTCATGTACAAGCTACACAGAAGAGGAGCACAAGTAACAAAAGATAAATATGAATATTTTTGTAATATTACACTGAGCTGCCCAGGGTTCATACAAAGAAAAACAACACTACTGTTCACTTCATTCCTTAAGTTTTGTAATTAGAAAACGCAATCTTAGGGGTCCATGACATGAAAACATTTCAAGGCATTAGACAACATACTTAGGCACCCTGAGACAGTTCAATGAACATATGCCACTGCCCATCAAAGGAAGAGTGGGCATGTCATTATGCAGCAGTAGACAGTTCAACACTCCAAGACCTTCATAAAAAGGGCAAGTGCACCTGTTGCCTCTCATCACAAGGGTGAGTCACAAGTCTTGTAAAATCCACAGCTATTATGGCCACAGATTTACAAGATGTGAGAGTATTTCACAACAAGTTTTTATGGTCTGGCTCAAGAAGTAGCATGGACCAAAATATAGCTACATCATTCCACAAGATTTCTAAAACTTGGCAGTATACTTGGTTAAGTAACGATTGGCTGTCAAGATGATTAGGCAAATTCCAAGCTTGGCCGAGTCCCCCCCCCTCCAATTGAAAAAGATGCAAAATTGACGCATATTACCATCTCAGATTCAGGGCTTAAGCAAGACAGTATATAGCATCGTATGGCTTAGTTCATATATCCATACATGTACAAAGGCAAAACCTCTAGAGGTTCCCTCCCAGAAAAGATTATTTATGCCATTGACCTCCGTATACCGGAGTTTACATAAAATAGAGCCTACCTAAAATTTTAGTTCGAAAACTGGATAAAATAAGTTTTTAAATGTTTCACCAGATGGTCTCCCTACCCTTACTAATCTCTTCAAATGACTTGTACAGAACTAGACTGGCTAAAGTAAACCACTGAACTATCAGGATACCCCCAATGTACAGCAAACACTGCCACTATTTGATTTCCAAATACACAATAAAATCATAACTGGTACTATTTTTTTCCTATTTCAACCAACCTGCTCAATATAATTTTATTTTACAAACTGGCAAAAGCAATTTTTTTTTTTAATACGGGTATGGTGACTGTACTAGTTCAGACAAGGTGAATTGCTATTCACTACCTGGTACACTTTATTGTTAAAGCGCAGCTCCACAATCACCAGGATTAACCAAGCAATATAAAATTACTCTAAAATTTTGCCAAAGTACATATATTCATGACAGCATACAATAGTAAAATACATGCATTCTGACTGAGTATTTCATGGAGGAGACCAGTCAGATGCATCACCATGGAATGTGACATGTATGCTGAAATATGGTATACACAGGAAGCCATGGTTAAAAAAATCTGAACAGCCATGTAGGTTATACTAAAAAGCAAATGTAAATTATTATGGTACCAACCATTTATATTCATAAAAATAAATGCTCGTTAGGTACACATCTCATAATTTGCACAGCTGGGGTATTTAAAAAAAAAACTTAAATATCCAATTGTTTGCCCATTGAAAGTCATTTTGTACATGTCTTGGCAGGATTGCAATATAAATGCGATGTAGGACCTAGTTGCATACAATTATTTCAATGAAATGGTAATGTATATATATATACCAAGTAATTTGTTCACAAACGTAAAATGAAGTGAGCATTCAAACGTGGACAGCGAGTGAAATATTGATTTGTAAAAATTTACGAGATGCGAATCAGGGAATTTGTAATAGGACAGAGTAGCTCCAACACTTCAGTTGATTAGCTGATTTTTGATGTACGGCGTACTAGTCAAAAAAAATTAAAGTGATGTAGTAACGTCAGCTTTTCCATAACCATGCTACTTGCTTAATCCTAGAATATATACTTCTCTGCAGGAAAATATTCAATTATTTATTTTGGAAATTTATGTGCAATTATCAATATGGAAGTACCACCAAATGAAATATTGAAATTCAATTCTTAGTACTTTACAAGCAACCATCAGTGTGGTCATGTGTTATGCAATCAGTGTAAACAGCAGATAACTCCATACTGTGGTGATCCCTGTAGTGATCGCACAAGGGATGGGGACAAAATATGAAGTCACAAAATATTTTTCTAGAAGCTGTTTAATCAGTCTTCTGTAATCACAGGAACAAAACACATCAGGTGGTGTGATGTGCAAAAGTCTGCTGTATATATTCATCCAAAATTATCAAGCAAAGTAGTTGGTTTTTTTGAAGATATTTCACCAGGAAGGTCACGATTATTATACTACTGTGAGTATATGTCACCCCTCACAG